ATGTTTAGTAAGGAACTTTTTTTACTTTTTTTTGGTGTTTATTGTTAATGGTTTTTCAGGTCAGTATGTTTAGTAAGGAACTTTTTTTACTTTTTTTTGGTGTTTATTGTTAATGGTTTTTCAGGTCAGTATGTTTAGTAAGGAACTTTTTTTACTTTTTTTTGGTGTTTATTGTTAATGGTTTTTCAGGTCAGTATGTTTGGTAAGGAACTTTTTTTGGTGTTTCTTGTTAATGGTTTTTGAGGTCAGTATGTTTGTTAAGGAACTTTTTTGGTGTTTTTTTTGTTAATGGTTTTTGAAGTCAGTATGTTTGGTAAGGAACTTTTTTGGTGTTTATTGTTAATGGTTTTTCAGGTCAGTATGTTTAGTAAGGAACTTTTTTACTTTTTTTTGGTGTTTATTGTTAATGGTTTTTCAGGTCAGTATGTTTAGTAAGGAACTTTTTTACTTTTTTTTGGTGTTTCTTGTTAATGGTTTTTCAGGTTGGTATGTTTGCAGCACCTTGCTTTCATGTGATTGTCAGTTATTAATTCTGTAATCCTTCACTGAAAAACAAATAGCCTTTAATTTTATACAATATCATTTTGGTTAGCATTTTGTTTTCTCATCCTCACACTTCCTTTTCTTCAATGGAGTACCTGCATCATTTGCTTTGCTCTTAGTCCTCACTAATAATATCTCTGTCATTAAAACAAACAAATATGTGTTGAACACTTAGACACACTCACCTGTCGAAGCACACTTGTTGAAACAATGTGCACGTTTACTATTTATGCATTTTAAAATCAAGTTTGCAGCATCAGTGTCGCGCATCAGTAGATTTTTGTTGTTGCTTGTCAAAAAAGTATTCACTTTTTAAATATGTTAAACTTATCATTTAAAAAGTTATTATTGTTATAATAATGTTTAAAATATTTCGACTGAATTACTGTTAAAAAGCATATCACACTTTAAACCATGATTAAATACAGTTGTAACTAAACTTTTTCGCCATGAAAACTAGCAACGCTCCTC